AAGTTTTTTCCATTTAAGAAAAGTGGTGATACATAGAACATGGGTCGATAAGGCACTGATGAGGTTGTAAGTAAAATGGTAATGGTATATCTTTTTCACATTTTCACAAACGGATCACAAAGACCACATAATTCAGTGGATGCCTGTCTATGATAAAAGCAAATATCAGGGATATTTTTGAAAAATGGGACTGCAAAAATATGGATACACATCTGAAATTGGAAGACTCTGGAGAACAGTTTCAAGTGGATGTGTTTATATTTTCATTCTATGATTTGGGATATAAATTTTGATATAAAAACATTATAAAAATACCACCATGGGTCATACATGCTGGGAATGGTTAGCTCTGCTGTCTTGTACACTAGGTGAGTGCAATAGAATAATTTTTGATGTATTGAATTTTTTACTTCCAAATAGAGAGGGTTTGTTAGTTTCTTTTATTTTAGTTACACAAGATGTCTCAAAACCTTCAAGTGCAAGAAAATGTCAGCGCTTATTCAGCAGGGATAGAAGAGTTTACAACATCTCCATATTTTTAAACATAATATTTATTTTATTATAATGTCCATTTTGCCTTGGAAGAGTTTAGTGTTATTTGAGTGCACCCTTGGAGTGCTCTCTGGTTAAATGGCATAGGTTCTGAGTCTGTCTGGCAGACCTCTCTTTCCAGAAAGGTAGAAAATGTGGAACCTTCCAAGACCCACCGATACAATATAATTGTAATTCATTAATTTGATTTAGTCATAGAGCAAAATATAGCAGATTGGTTTTACTCCCACCTTTTTGAAATATTTGCACAGCTAATTTTTTCCGTTAAGCAGATTGGTTTGATTATTGGTTTGACTCTTTTTAAATATAACCCTGTTGTACAATAGCTGATCATGAGTTTGAGAAGAAATTTTCTGTACCTACAAGACATTTCTGATGTTTGATGATATCCTGGCTGACTTTTTATCTCCGGAGACAATTGTTGCAAAATGGTTCTGCTCCTGGTTCAAAATTATTTCAGCCATTTTGTTTGCTCGTTATTAATATCCTCTCTCAGCGTAGTGGGATATTATTGCCTTCCTGAAACCATTTGAACAACAAAATTAACTCATCAATTCACAGAGCGCCCCAGAAGTTGTAGATAGGAAATTTGCAGGAGGAAATATTTGTTTTAAAAGAAAGTGAGATGAAAAATAAATCCGAAGCAGATATTTAGACTCCTTATTTATCAAGAACTTAGATGTCATTAATACTGTTTACATAGAGGTATGCTGCCTGCACTTGAAAATGTCTCAAAGTCATATTTTCTATGCTTGCATATCCTGCAAATCTACTTACTGGTATATTTCTCAGAACAAATATGAAACCCCTGAAATAAAGTAAGTGATATCAATAAATCCTTGTAAAATGTACAGATTGATAAAGAGGTGTCAGGATATAGAACAAAATTATTAAATTAAAAAATGGTGTAAAACTGCAAAACTAAATGCAGCGAAGGGTTAAGAAAAATTTGAGAGTTGATTTTTTAAGGAATTTGTTAGCAGGAAAATGTCAGATAGAATACCTAAAATGCATCATCACATTAAAAAAAAACACCTGCTCTAAATGACTGTTTACCATGCAATATCAGAATCTGTCCAGGTGACCATGTGATGAAATGGGGTCATGTTACCCTCTAATATCAGAGGCCTACTTAAATACTACACAAAATCACACTATGGGCTTTTAACATTTTCTGTAGCAGACTACTAGCTAGCACCCTGTTGTCAGAGAGTGCCATAGGACAAGTAAATGAAAGGTGTGGAAAGGGAAATGCCATTAATTAAGGTAGACCAAGAAAGTCCCAAGAGCTTCATGAAAGGAGTAATTAGAGTTACTAATGGTTATATTGAATAATGGGAGCCATGCTGTTATGAATTAGAAGCTGTCAGCAGGTAGCAGAATATGTTTGATGTTAAAGTGATGTATTTAGGGAATAATTTGTGGTGCCTTATGAATACAACGGCAAAAAATTACTCATTTAAATTACATGTTGTTTCACACACACAATAAAAATGAAATCTGAAAACAGCATACTCCATCTTGTAGAAGACAATGAATAAAAGTGTACTCTAGACCAACAACTGTGAAGGTAACAATTTGTAGTGCCAATATTATCCAATAATGGTAAAGATAACATTTCAAACTTGGACTTTATTGGTTGATTACAGTAAGGGATAAAAAGCACTTAATACCAGCTTGTGTGTTGTACATTTTAGCAGGTATTTCCACAGGTAAATTGCAGCACTTACAGCAATTACTCAGCTGAGGCTGTTAACCAGGCATCTGCATTTTTGCAAAAATAATAATAATGTGTTGATTTTACCACCACCTACCTCAGTCAAAATTTTACAGGATTTGGGGAGAATGGGTATCTTGATTAAAAATCAATGTCTGGGACTGTCATGTATTAGTTCCATTACTCACTGTAAGTGTAAAGTGATGATAAGGGAATTGTATTTCATACAGAACAGACTTTGCAAGATGTGTGTGATGTAACTTTGTAATAGCCATATGGTTCCTTAGCATTGGTAATGGAATGGCAAACAGCACGTGTATGTGTGTGTGTATGTGTGTGTGTGTGTATGTGTGTGTGTGTGTGCGTGCCTGCAAGCCTGTGTGTGAAACTATGTGAAACATAATATGAAAGTTGCATCTTGGAATTGAACCTAACACAGAAACAGGTTGATTCGTAATTTTGAAAATAAACAAATAAATATATAAATTAATTGTTAATTTGGAGGATTCAGATACCTGTGCTGTTATTCTCTTGGTATATTGAAGAATTTGGCAGGCAAATGATGATAGTCAAATTGAAGTAGATTTTATTTATAAGAACATCTGAAAAACAGAAATCATTGCAACAAGTCCCTTTCGTAGGGTTTCTGTAACAAATTTACACATACATGTAAGTTGTAATTTCTACAAGACTCGTCAATAAGCAACCTCTTGTATTTTCATAATCAAATTTCTCCCCGTTAACTACTTCACTACGTACCATTGTTCACAACAAGATAAACAACAGAACCACTCATTTTGGATACTAAAATTTGGGTACAACGCTACAACTTATACGTATAGTGTATATTAAAGAGAGCAAATGTGTGTATGTCATCAGAAATATATGGAGTATAAAGTAATGAAGACTGTGCACAGGTTCCGTACATACAGGTAGTTAAGGGATATAGGTGAGTGGGTAATTGCACTTTACTCAAGCCTTGCCTTCAGACATGAGAAAAGGTTCCGCTGTTTCTTATCACAGACAACTAATACAGGCCTTGGGGCTTGGTTAAAGATATTAGGGCCCTGTTAAGGGATGAGGAATGGAATTTCAACTCTGTCCATGTAATGGCACTGTTTTGAACTGTGGGGCCCAGTGATGTGGGTTTTTATGATGAGTACAGAGTTTCAGGGATGATGAATTACTGGCTGCTGCTTTTGCTGGATGGCATTTACCATAAATAGGTGCACGCGGAAATGGGAAATATTGTCTGAAACTTCATCTTTTTGGTACTTCATGTGACCAAAAATTGTCTTTTGCTGTTAAAGCACTTTTAATTGTGGGGCTTGGGAAAAAGATCTGAAAATTGGATTTCTAGGCAGCAGATTACATGGTTTATATTGTGAAGTGCATATTGCTTTAGTAAGTTTTTAGTTCCACAGATTGTATTTCACAGTTTGAGGCCCCAGTGGAGGATTTGTGTTTCAAAACAGATCTGGAAAAGCTGTGAGCGGCAGACTAATATTACTGTACAGTACAGTAAGTGATCAGCCACAACATCATCAGATTCGCAGCAAAGATTTGATAAATTTTGATTAGTTATTCAGACTGGTTGTGAGCAGATGATCATTTCTCTCAGTTTCCAAGGTGACATAGCTACAAGGATATCTTCCAGCTTGTCTTGAAGTTCAGAAGCGGGTCTAGAACACTCTGGAAATGGCTCTCTGTTGATCTTTAAAAACCAGTCACCGTGTGATCTTCCCAAGAACTTTGATTCATGGACTAGTTTTAAGGCCAGGAAATATCTATCACTGTGTATTCCTACTTTCTGAAGGTGAAGTGTATGACTAGATAGGGGTGACTCATCAACATTTTGATCTTATGAAACCCTTACCACCAGTCAGGTTCTTGTTGAAGTGGTAGTGTTGAAAGCAGGGGGTCAGTTAGACTAACAGGACAAAGAAAAAAGAAAAGAAATATTTTTCGGAAGAGCTCTGTTGACCAAGAGGACTTAACCAAGGCACTGAGTAAAACTTGAAAACTTTATTGACTAATTGTCAGAGAAAGTATACTTCATATTTCACCAGTGACCGTCATCCAGAGGAGATCATATTCAGTCACATGACAAGGCATTTTACTGGGAAGACGTACTTACAGGGCCCATATTAACCAGGAGCTACTATACCTTGAGCCTTCAAAGCACAGGACCTTTACAGTGATATTTCACGGAAAAAAGAACTCCGATATTTCCAAATTTATCTCACCTGGTTACCTGTGTATATTTAACTCACCTTGGCGCTTGCTGCATCTGGTTTGCTGTTATTGCGTCACTGTGAATACTAGAGTAATCTACACTGGAATTTATCCATTAGTAACTGTATGAATTCATCACAGTGCTTTTAGATGAGATGAGACTGCTGCTTAGTATATAACTTGGGAACTTTTGAACACTGGATTAATTGTATTTCACATGCACAGGGAGTGACCATAGACTTAAACTGCAGGTTTTACAGGTTGTATGGTATCTAGCATAAGAACTGTTATATACCAGGGGTCTTCTTTGACTTACACATACTTGATTTATTGTTCTGTCATCTCTTACCAAGAGACACGCTTAGTGAAAAATATATTGGCAGACCTGTCTGTGTTTTTTGCCACCAGATTTGGCTGAAAGCTGACTGAAGTTGTGATTTTACTACTTAGAGGCTGTGAGTTTATTCCGTGTTTTCAGCCTGTTCTGTAGTGAATCATGAATATCAGCGTATCTATAGGTGGAGGGCGCCCAGGAGGAAATCGCACCAGCCTCGCCAAACAGCTTCTACAGGAGAGGAAAGGTGACAGCTCCTTTGAGTTCAGAAGTAAAGGCACGAGTGCTCTGGGTCGGCACCACCGAACAAAACTTCAAGATGGTGCTCTTGACTTTGACGACTGGGATGTTGGTACCAGTAGGAATAGGAGAAATGTAGGAAGCTTTTTCGAGTATTTGGATGACAGCGCCAAGTCAAAAAGCGAGGACAGTAGAAAGCATGTATCTGAGGTGGATTACTCTAGCCGTAGCTCAAAAAACAAAAGTGGACTGAGAGAGTTTGATGTGGATACAGACGACATGTTTGCATCCAAAACGAAATCATTTTTAAATCGCTCTGGCAAGAAACATTTTGATGATGATGACGATGATGATCTAAGGGGCAGGGGCAGCAAGTTGCATAGATTAAGAAGCCGTGAAAACGCAGCATATGAAGATGAAATTGATAGCAAAAACAAAAACTTATCGGAAAGAAAAAGGGGCGATTTAGCTGAAAGAAATGAAGGTGGTGGCATTGTCTCCTCATCAAAAAGTGAAAAGAAAACAGTAAAGAAGTCTTCAAAATCTGAAAATGTACAGCGCACTATAACTAAGGATGGGAAAACGACCACTACGAAGGAGGAGTCACATGATAGCAATGAAGTCAAGGAGGAACGAAGTGATGTGAAACAGTTTCGAGAGCCTGGCAGTAAGGCGTTGGCAGTTGGCGGTAGTGCTGAAGAAAAATCAACCAGCATTGTGAAGAGGGAAGAGAAGAAAGAGGGCAAGAAGCTAACAGAGGAAGAATCAAAAGGTAAAGATGGCAGAACCCTTTCCAAACTAAGCAAATTGGATACCACAAAGGATTTGAACCAAGAGGAGAAAAAATTGGAACTCAGCACAACTAAGTCTTTTGATGCTCAAACTGGGGACAGTGCAACCAAAACTAAGAAAGCAGAAACCACAACCAGCAAAATTGCAGAAGGCAAAAAGAGTGAGACAACAAAAATGGAGCGTGGAGCAGACGGGGAGATTATAAAGACCAAAGGTGCTGAAGTGACTGGAAATGTGAAAGAAAAGAAGCACAAAGTAACGGATGTTGATGTGGAAGAGAAAGATGCCTCTGGGAAAGTGGCAGCTCGAAGAAAAGCACACCTGGAGGCAGAAGTAGGTCAAGAGTTTGGCGGGACAAAAAGCAAGGAAGAGAAGAACAGATATGCCATCGACGAAGCTGGTCGTTCCATCAAAACCACAGAAACCAAAGAAGGCAAATCAAAGACGAGAAAAGAGCATGACAAGATGCAGATGCAACTCAACGAAGAAATAGAAACAGAGGACGGAACTCTGAAACTGGAAACCAAGGAAGGATCCCAGGGAGGGAAAGAAACCACCAGAGGCTATTCCAAATCCAATATTAAAAGCACGCCAGTCAGTGAGGCCATAGATTCCGTGAAAAGAACCGTCTTCTCTCCAAATGTGGGTGCAGGAGATGCACAAGACGCCATAGAGGCAGGTTCACCTGCGAGACGTGTTCGTCAGCGTGCTCGTCCTGCACCGCTTACTAAAGCCAATGTGGAAGCAGCCAATGGGGATGTGAAGGGTGCTAAAACACCAACAACACCCAGTGCTACATCAGACTATGGTACGATGGATTCTTCAATGGCAGAAAGCATGAGATCCAGAGATAAAAAGTGATTTTCTACCATTTGAGGCCAGTTTAGGGTGTTTTGGTTTTATAAGAAACTTAAATGTTTAATTTAAGTACAAAAATTGCACTCCGCTAGAAAATCTTAATTTTAAGATTGGAAATAACCTCTTCTGAGAATGTACCTGTATTTATAACTTAACGAAGTGAAAGTAAAAGACAGATTCTTTGGCCCCAGGTGATATTTATCTCTTAAAAGTAGGGGTCTTTCATGGCAGCAAGGCCCAACTTTAAAATCCTTCCCATGATAAATTTTAATGCCAGGTGCAACGTATATGTTCTTAATTAAGTGCTCTTTTGGTAAAATCACCCCCTAAACCTGCTTTTGATAAGTGCTAAATACCACTTCATCAAAACAGCTTCTCGTACAAAATATACAGTGAAGGTCAAGGCTATAAACCCCCTCAGGAAACAGTATGGAAATTATGAGAAATTGACTTTGATAAGTTCAGAGATCTAAACAACGAAAGACAACTTGTAAGTTCTGATACAGTTAAACCAGTTTTAATGTGTTATTCTGAAGATTTAATATGGTTCTTGGATAAATGGATCTCTGAGACAAAAAATTAGGGCTTTATAATCAGCACTTGAGTAGCTCTTGCTACTCACCAAGTATTAGCAGAAGTAGGCTTTTAGACACAGTTTTGTTATTGATTGTGTAATAATAGGCAGAGCGAGCTATGGAATTGGATGCTGTCTCATTTATCTTATTGATTTTTTCTGTTGTATGACTGCCATTTGGTTTTAGCGTCAATTGAAGTTTTTTTTTTCAATTACACTTCATAAATTAGCTGTAAAAATGTTCTGGAAATTTTTTTGAATAAGAAGTGCATTTGAAAAGGTTTTTTTGTTAATGAATTTGGAGGTACTTTGAATATTTCATTTATGGTGTAGAATTTGAAGTCTTAGCAGTTCGAAGGACAGTATTATTCCAAACTTATGTATTTTTTTCCACAAATGATCAGTTGTTGAAATAGAGACTATAGTTGAACATTAAAACTGCTAGAAAATTATAAATGTTCTTGCTGAAGTTACATGAAATCGTCCTTGCTGCTAGATTGATAGACAAATTAGTACTGCTTATTATTTTTTTTTTTAATGCATGCTTGCTTTTAGATTGAAAGACAATTGTACTGTCAGAAAAAAGGGTTTTGTTGAAACTGGATGAAAAACCCTTTGCATGTAGACCAATAGACATTTTACTGCTAAGAAATTTATTTCTAGTTTTTATTGAAAGTACTTGAAATGGCTCTTGCTGTTAGAGTGACAGACAGCCTCCCCGGTAGTTAACAGGGTTTTCATTGAGTAGGCAGATTAACCTTTGCTTTAAAAGTAGTTTTGTTGAAGGCAGTCATTTGAATTGCAGTTTACAAGGTTAACAAAACTGAAGTTTTATATATCTGAAGTTTTTGGTATTACTTTTGTGTAAAGCAAATGTTGTCATTGTCATATGTGTAATCATTTGGGTTTGCAAAATTTTACTCCTGTATGATTTCTGTTAGAAGTATCTTGAAAAAATGATAGATATTCTTATCTTACTCAGTGGATTGTTAAAACATTACTGTAATCAAATATATCTTTAGACCTTTGAGCTATGTTATATTATTACTGTATGAGATGATTACTAGTAAATATTCAAAGTGTGAATTTTGCATTGTTTATTTCCTGTATGCTGTTGCCAAAAAGTTAAATGAAAGTCTTTTTATTCGGAAATCTGGAAAGGTCCTCTTGAATCTCTGATCAACCAGTAAAACAAAAAACAATTAAACCAAAGTTTGCTTTTTATTTATTTGCTATTCTTTGGTAAGAAAGGAAATAGCTTTAGAATTAAAAATAGCCTTGATGTGGCCTGATGGGTGACATACCATGTTGTCAAGGATGTTGATACATTCTTCAAACAAGCCACATCAGAACTTATTTTTATTTCTGAAGCTATTTACATCAAGTATTCACAGTCTGTGGCAATCTGAATATAAGACAGGTTTACTGAGTGACAGGCCGACTTGACATTTCAAAGAATGTTTTTGAAAAATTGCTTTTCTTTAAAGTTTTCTTCCATTGAGTTGTTGGCACCCTGAGTGTGAGAGAGGTGCTTAAATTTCTAGTTTTCTCTGAATGTTAGCGTGATGTGTGAGGTTGGGGTGGGGCACACAGGGTGTGAGTGATTAAGTTTCTTGATGCATATAAAAACTATTGGGTCAAAGCATAAGCAAATTTTTTTTTTTTTTTTTTTTTTTTTTTTTTTTTTTTTTTTTTAGTAATAAAACAGGTGAAATTTTTCATTTTATTATACTACTGATGATTTACCTAGGGTCGTCGTACACTTAAATTTGGTCTCAAAAGTTTAGACCAGTTTTCGCGCTGAAGTAACTTTGTAAGACAGGGCCCTGGTCACTAATACATATGAACTTTCCAAATCCTCCTCACTCTGAATAATGACCATCTATACAGCTTTTTAGCAAAATTCCTCTCTTTAAACAACCTCATCTGTCTTTTTTCTCTGCTCGTCCAATATTTTCTCTGTCAACAAGACGGAGAGCAAAGATCACTTAGTGTGACAGAAAGGTTGCATGCCTAAGTCATAAAATATGTGAACTTTGTAGCCAGGTCCTGTTCCTCATGCCATTAACTTCAGTTTTAATACCATGCCATGACTGTCAACTTTGTTCAATTCTTTTTTCCACATGTGTGAAAGATAAACTGAAGAGCCGTACGTGGAGATTTTTATGTTTAGAAGCTGCCTCCCCCCCCCGCCACACCCGAGACTTAGGCCTCATCTTTACAATGCAAATTAAAAGCACCTGTGTAAAATGAAAATGTCAAAAATAAAGACTGATAATACATGCCAAGTTATAAAGGAGCCACAGATACAGAATTTAACATAAAAAAACAGTGCAGATTCCCTGTAATGCTTATTAATCACTACTACCAATTTCTTATATGACTCAGTCAATTAATTCCACATTTTTTATAACCCTCTCAATTGATCTGAATGGCAAAGAAGCTAGACCTAATTTCCTGAAGTTTTGACTCAGATCAGACATTTTATGGTCAAAAGGGCAGTTTGCCCCCCTCCCCAAGCTCCACTGCCTAAAAGGGTTTCTAGTTGATGATAGGGTCACAATAGTTCGAAGTTGAACCATAAAATATACCTGTCTTAGGTTGGCTGTTCTAGTACCTATATGGCGGTGTCTGTAAAAGAATGCCACTTGAACTTTATGTTGGGATATGTCCACATAGCTGAGGGTATGGGTGACTCTGTTTGTTTACACACACTGTCAATCCCTTGTGTGGTCAGGGGCCAAAGAGAGGAAAATAAACACCCCCAAAATTGTTTTTAAAATTGATTTAAAATTCTGATATTCTTTTTTACCTTGACCAAAATTTCAGCATTTGCAAGCTGTGTTCATATGTTGAGCCAATTATATTTGAGCTAGACCAAACAAATATAAAATGCCTTCTTCCATGTTTAATGTAACTCTCTGGAAATTGGCTGTAATATTGAAATATATTTGCTAAAGTGAATGGCTTAAAAAAAATAGAACATTCAGAGTGAATCCAAACAACTTTAAGATCACTTAATCAGCTTCCTTTTCTCCACCCTACAAGCGACAGAACATAAAAAATGTTTTCTCCAATAAATGATCACAGTAATAAAACAAGTGCAGTATTTATTAGGGTATCTTTATTAGTCTAATAACCAGGGTTTATTTCCAGACACAGACACAACTTTGACACTCCCCTTTTTCCACCCTCCTGTCAAAGCTGTGAATGTTTTTTCCCCTCTTGTGTCAGGTCTCTTTAGACGGCTGAAATTCTGACATCTGAGGCACTGCAGGCAGTGATGGGAAGACATTGATGTCCTCCTATGAGAAAAACCACTGCTGAAAATCAGGAATGTGTGAGGACAGCTCTGAAAAAAAAAGAAAAGATAATAAATCACACTGATTTAATTAGTGTCAAATAACAAGAAAGAAATAACATTTGGATTTGATGATAGTTGTCAGGATGCTGATTAAGATTGCTGGAAGGGAATTTACTAAGATAGTTCTTTAGTACTGTTAGTGAGAGGTAAAAAGAAAGAGATAAGGGATGATTATATTACTTATCAAATCTGTTTTTATTTTATTTTTTCTAAGTGAAAGATTTGATATCTCCTGGGGTGGGGGGGTCCTGATTTCTGTAATCATTTAATTAACACTAATGATAACATTGTTCCTGTATAAATTTATTAATGGATATAACTCATGACTATTCATCTTTAATTGAAAAATAGTTTTAGAATTGTTCAAACTCCTCTAGGTATTAAGAACAGATATAATGATATCATGTTCATACCCCGATTTCCCTGGGGTCCTGGGTGAGGAGGGGCAAGGGCCACATAACAGGATCAGTTACATTTCCCCATGGTATGCAGGGTGCGTTAATATTCAGATAAGTGGCCACACCATGTGTACTTAAATGATGATGCAAAATATCTCTTTGATTAACTTTGACAGCTGGACTTCTGATTATGATAAACAGGAATTACATCCTGTTAGAGAAGAGGTGTCTTGTTACTATATTACATAGTTAATATTTGAAGGTGCAGCATGTCATTTCTCTTTGATGAGCTGTATACTCACTTGTGATCTTGATAGATATTCAACTTAGAAAGTTTCCATTAATGTGTGTGTAGTAATAATAACAAAAAATAAGAAGAAGAAGAAGTTTTTTGTAGCTTATATAAATCACCAGTGTACACTATGGACCTCTGAACTGTTTGTCATAAATAAATAAGGTTATGAATTTGTTAAAACACTACTAATAAATCTACTACTAAAAAAACTTTACATAACCGTACAAAATAGCCAAAACTGAACCTTATATTTAAACCTACAATAAACTTGTCAAGATTTTTTCTGGTTCAATTGTGATAACATTCCAAGAAGGAGGAGATGAAGTTTCTCTTTTGTTCCCATTGTCTGCTCTTCCTTGCTTTCAAAATAAT